TCTTCATTATCTTCATCATTGACATCTTCATCTTTGTCTATTCAACCATCAACGCCATTAACATTGAATCATAAACCTCACTCACCTTCATTACAATTACAATCACAGTTATCATTATCACTACCATCACCAACCACAACTCACTCACCATCTGAATCACCTTTATTATTATTATCATCGTCATCATCACCATCACCTTACTTGCCATCTTCATCACCAACTCCTTCATCTCTCAGTGCAACAACATTAGGTTATCATATAGCCGAAGATAGATTAACATCAATAGATATTCGTGATTTATTGCGAAAAGAATTAGATGAAAGAGTAATGGAACAACAAAAGGCCAAACAACCACAACATCACCATAACCAACACCAACAATCACATTCACATTCACAACAAGCTCACTCAACTCCTTTACCATCCTCATCAGTTAATCTGTTTGCCTTATTACCGCCAAAAAGAGATGATCTTGATAGATTAGCTTCCAATAACAATAAAAACACCGGAGGTATTACAAGTTTAGGTGGTTCTCAATCACAGTCTCCACCAAATAGGATAAACGGTATAACCAACGGTCATAGTCGCAGTCCACCAGGTATTAATATCCTTGTATTTAAACCTAATACACCATTTAAAGGTTCATCAGATGAAGGTCCATCAGATTCTAATAAGAATTGGGGTGAAACCTTTGGTCTTCCTCCGAGGATTCCTCTTAAACCGGGTGGTTACAATGATCCTAATTCACCTTCATCACCACCAACAACTGATAATAGGAATAAGATAATTAACTATCATAGAGGAAGTGGAACAAATAATTTCAATCTTAATCATCATAATAACAATAACAATGATGGTTTTAGGGTTTACAGTGATAAAGAAGGTGAAAACATTGGCATAAATTATATTAATCGGAATGATGATAATTCAGGATCATCAATAGTAAGAAATAAACCTTCATCGACAACTACAACATCAACATCAACAATTCAACCAATAACAAAAACTAATCTGACCACATTGTTGACTGTTGGTGGATCTGGTAACAATAATGTGATTAAAAAAGTTACCGATACAATTGATTACAGTGCAAATGATTTTAATAACAATAACATCAATAACAATCATAATGGTAATAATAATAATAATAATAATGATCGTAGTGGTGGTAATAGTGGTCAACGGCCAAATGGTAACAATCATGATCGATATGATTATGATTATGATGGACACGGGATAGCGGATGCTAATGGTACTTCAACGAGTTTGAGTGAATCAAATGGACCTGATGATGCTTTCGTTAATGGTGAAGCTTATCGGTTAACAACTGAACGACTTGCGTACATTTTAATTGGTTCTTGTTGTGCTTTGTCAATCCTTTGTTTAATTATCGTCGCTTTTTCCATTCGATGTCGTGATATGTGCGATGAATATAAAGCTTGGAAGAAAGCAGAAAAATTAGCCATGCTTAACTATCGTTACCAGAATTCACATGCGCGTCAAAGGATACGAAGCGGAATACCTGGTAATGGATCCGCTTCAGGACCTGTTGGTAGAGTAGTTGGAGGGCCTGAGGCAAACTTTTTTTCACATCGAGCTCTTGGTGAACAAGATTCAAACCTTTCCTATCCACCGATTAAAGCATCTAGACCAATATTTGGTCCTTCTTGTTGCTGTTGTCCAGCTCCTGGATCAACAGGTAGTGCTTGGCATGGTCGAGGCACAGAGACTTGTCCACGAGGTTATTTCCATCCTTGTCCTCGGGGTAAATTGCCCTTTGGTGCTGCATCGTCAATCCAAGCATTTCCCAGGAATCATGTGCCTGTTGCTGCGGTGGCCAATAACTTCCCAAGTGATGAGGATGATTCATTAAATGCAAGTATAGTTGATGATGGACGTGCGGGTCCAAGTGGAGTGACAGTTTCTAATGGCGGTGGTCCTGGTGTCATGGATCCTAAAGGAGTGATCCTTGATTCATCAGAGGCTCATCATGGTCATAATCTTAATCAGTGTACTTGTGTTGAGCCTCCGGCACCTTCAGCATTTGATTCTGAATCTACTGGTCAACAAATAATCGTCATCATCATGGACACAATCATATTAACCATACACATGGTCACTCGTCAAATCAACAACCATCAGGCCAACCTCAAGCATCTTCATCTTCAAATCATCATCATATTCACCATCAACATGTACATCAACAACACCAACAACATCATCATCAACAACAACAGCAACAGCGAAAACAACAACAATTGAATCCTAGCCAAACAAACGGAGAAAACGACAAATCGTTCAACCCAAGTTGGCTTCAATCATCTATTATCGTCGATGAGCTTCACCGGAAACACTCACAATTAGTTCGGGAAAATGCAAAAAGTCCAAAAAGTCGTAATCCCGAAGATCAAAGATACATTTTTTGGTCTGAAAATCAGGATAGATTAATTTAAAAAACGAAAACAAATTTTTTTCCAATTTCATTTTCATCATTTTGTTTCTCATTTTCATTCAATCATATTTACAATCGAAAACCATTCATCAAGCTCAAATTTCATCGACAACCATTCAAACATTAGCACAATCATCATCATCATCATCATCTTTCTGTCAATTTTATCTGTTCCTTTTGTTTAATCTACTATTCATGTTTCATCTCTTATCTGTTGATAGTTTTTTCTTTCAAAAAAGCATCAAAAAAATTACCTGAGAGTAATAAATTAATTGATTATCAAAATGAAAATGAATCAAAAACTCTAATCGCGCCTTAATTGTAATTCTTGTAACCACAGTTTAGATTCAATTTGATCGTTGGTTTTTTTTTCGTCAAGTGAATGAACGAGACTCATTTACTTCCTAATTTACAGTTAATTTAATTCAAGTACTTCACCTAATCATCACCTTCTCAGGTCAATCGATTTGATGACAGTAATTATCGATGAGAAAACCGATCTTATTTTTTCATCTGATCAACAAGTTGATCTTTTTTTTTCATGAATCATTGTTTTTTTATCGTTGATTTTGATGGTCATACTCCCATGACCAGTCTAAATAACAGATTATCATGTTAACTAACTTACTAATTAACCAAGTTAAAGTTGATTGTGTACAATTTGAAAAGTATTTGTATCATTATCCAATCTAAACTGTTGTTAATTTATTTATCACTGATTAGTATTGATACGATAATCAACTTGACTCTAATGACAATTACCGATAATTAAGTTTAAGGTTTGATTGTGTCTTTTCAATCATTGTCATAAATTGTCACCCAATCACCTTTACCTCCCAACAGTTTATGACCTAAACCTTGTGCGCCTTTTAATTGTTTACATTAATTGTTGATCATATTGTTTGAATTTTTTTTTTCTTCTCCAATACATTCACATTATGTATTGTGTTGGTTTTTTTTTCCTGATTTTCTCTGATTATCATTATTTACTGATGAGAATCCTTTAATTACTACCTTATTAACTTATTATCCGCCAACTGACAATCAAGTTTAACTGTTGATTTAATTTGGTAAACTTTAACTCTCATTAACTTTAATTTTGTCTCTACTTTTTCATTGGCAATTCAATTCAATCTGATTAACTTATTGTAAAGTTTTTTTTTTCACCCTTTGCATTGAATTATCACCTTCAATCACAGTTGATTGTACTTGTGGGTTAATCAATGAACTATCTAATTTACATGATTAATTTACAATCAAAAAGTTAATTACAGTTAACTGGTTTACATAAACAAATGAGAAAATGTAAATTGTGTGTTGGCAAATTAATTTGATTATTGGTTGATTTGCATATACGAATTGATGAGATAATCTTTTCCGTTATCTTTTTGTTTTGCTCGTTCATTATTCAACAACAAAAGAAAAACAATTTAATCCAATAACCAAACAATTTGTTATAATCATTTTACAATAGAAAAATCAGTAAATTAAATCGTAATTAATTGGATTAATTTCTTAAATTGTTCTTCCTGTAGTAAACAATTAAGGACAACAAATAATCATCATCATTATGAAATTTAACATTTTTATATCAGAAAAACAATTGGTCTCAGTTTTCTGATCTTTTTCATGGTTTTTTTGTTGTTGTTTAAATTTATTCATCAACAATGTAATTAATTAATTGTTTTAATGCAACAAGTAACAACAATTACATTAACAACAACAAGCGACATGATAATAACAATCAACCCTCTTGTTTTTAATTACCCTGCCCAAAGTAAAGTGATTAAAAGATGAAGATGTTGATGAAGAAAAAAGTTATCACCGTATCGACCTGATTTTAATTGGTTGACCGATGGTGGAAACAATTTAATTTAATTCAATTCAATTTCTTTCAGCTTCTGTAAATTAAATCCACAACTAAACCCTTACAAGGTTTGCTGCTGCTCTTGTTGTTATGTATTAGTTAACTGATTATTTTGATTGTTATTATTGTAACTGTTTACTTTGATTGTTGTAGTTTGTGTTTTGTGTATTGTGTATACACACTGAAGAGGATATTCAAGTTGATTTTGATTAAGATGAAAATGAGACAATCAATGATAATAATAAGGTAAAAAAAGGCTTCATCTTTACTGGATGACCTTATTTATTTTGATCAACAAAAGGTAAATTAACCAACCTTTACCTTTACCTTTTTATTATTATCATTATTTGTACAATTAGGTTTGTACAATTTGCAAATAATCAATGAACAAAATTATGTGTCAATTTACTTAATAAACGTGATGGTGATCACAATTAAATTGGCTAATATTAAACAACGATTAACCTTTAACAGCCAATTTATTGGTAAATGTTGAAGAAGAAAAAAAATTTTCGACTTTTACAAATTTACAATTATAATTTCGTGTTTAATTTGCACTAAATTGTTGGTGTTCTTATTGGTGTTATTGATTTACTATTCTAGTTATCGATTTAATTTGTTGATTGTTTTACTTTCTAATTGTTTGATTTGTTTTTTTTTATTCTCTTTCTCTCATTGTAGGCCGAACGATTGAAATTGGATGCGGAAAAAATATTCGAGGATTGTTCAGATATCGCTCGTCATGAGGTTGGTCATCATTTGGACATTTCGACCAATTTTTGTCTTGTTTAGTTTATCCAATTAACTATTGCCATCTATTGATTAACTTTCGTATTTTTTAATTATCTGGATTTTCTCTGTCACAATATTAATTGTTCAACCGATTTACTGATTGTGAATTGAACACTTTCAAGTATCTTATATGAGGAAATGATTATTGAATCACTTGAGAAACTAATTAACTCTTTGATTTCTAATTAAGTAATTGAGTTGTAAATGATCAATAGATGGTAACTTAGTTAAGAAAGTTGACTAATTGTTTGAATTTCTAATTCTAATTTTAATTTTTTGTTTTTCTTTTCTAATAATTAGATTAAACGATTTCATAAGGAACGATCAACAATGTTAATCTCAGCAATTAAGAAATATTGTCAATCTCAGTTACTCGTTAACAAGGATATCCTCCAATTGTTACTTATTTCATTTGAAAATTTGAAACAATTTCGTATCGAAAGTTATTAATCAACCTGATTAACCAATCTAATCAACTTTGCCAACAGTCACCATCCCACCATTGTCATTGTTAATTATTACTATTATGTGATTAACTTTTATTGAAACAAAGATTATGTTATAACTGTGGGTTGATTTACTTTTATAATTTAACTTCTCTTTATTTTTCCCTTATTTTTTATAATTTTCACAGTTAATTGTTAATTAATTGCGTCAACAGTTGATTCTCATTTGTTTTCCCAAATTTAATCAAAAGGCAAAACATCAAAGAAAATTGATTGATAAATATTTAATCATTCCGATACTTTTTTTACTCTATTAACAGATAATCTGTAACATTAATTAATTTATCTTTATTAAAATGATTTACTAATCAAATTTGCTTTCTTAAAAGTGAAAACAATCAAACTGATTAAATCAATTGATTGTTAACCTTTTACTCTTTTGAAATGAGCGCTTAATGTTCACCCAACTCGTTGTCATGGTTACGGTTGTTGTTTGTTTTTCTGAGTTCATGTTGACAATTTAATTTGATTTTCTTTCGTTTTAATTGTTTAATTATTGGTTTTGTTTTGTTTGTTTCTTCATTTTTACAGAAATGTCTCTTTTGATGGGAAAGGTGTGCGAAGCCGTGGGCAAGAATATTGTTCGTGTTGCTATTCCTCAATTGAAGTTCGATTCATTTCTTGTTACTCATTTCAGAGATTCAAGTGAATTACATGCGTTGGATAAAAAAGGAGAGTCAAAGGTTGGCGATTGGGTGATTGTCTCTAAATTACCAGAGAGGATCAGTTTAAAGGTCGAACATTCTGTTGAACAAGTGGTCTATAGGTGTGGGCACATAATCGATCCATTAACGGGCAAACGATGTTTCCAATACCATTACGATGAAAGTGGTTCAAAAGAAAATCAGAATTCTAGTTCAAATGAAAAACTGTAGAGGAAACGATTGATTATTGATTAAAATCATTGGAATCATTTGAATATCATCCTGTCGTCTTCATCTCACGGTGCAGCTACATTAGGTTATCATATAGCCAAAGATAGTTTAACATCAATAGATATTCGTGATTAATTACTATCGTAACAATACAAATGTTTGGACAAAAAGGGTTGTCAGTAACTATGGAGATGGAAACATCTCCTCACCCTCTCGGATACTCAATTCCGGAGATACAATTATACCGACATCCTTGTCATCATCTTTGTCTTCTTTTCCCCCTTTCTCATCGATTCCATCATCACACTCCGATTCTTCATCTTCCTCAGTACATTTCCCTTCCGATCAGTTACCAAGTGGCATTAATAGTAATAGCAATGGTCAAGTCAATGGCTACATTAGTGTGGCCTCTTCAATTTTACCTGAAACATTTTACCAGAAGACACTTAAACGCCAATCCTCATCAGCATCTTCCCTTAACGGATTGTACAGTCTAGATGAGCGTAATAATAATACCTCATCTAACTCGCCATCTCCATCTTCATCTTTATTATTGCCATCACCATCTTTTTCATCTTCCAGTGCAACAACAGCAAATCATCAACCAGTAACAAAAGCTATTCTGACCGCACTGTTAACTGTTGGTGGACAATAATGTGATTAAAAATGTTACCAATACCTATGATAATGATATACCGATGTAGACGACGATTTGATTTACTGTTATGAACAGAATTGACTTAGAGAAAGTTAATTCGAGTTGTAATCGCCTCAATCGAATAACAATATAAAAATTTTCTCATAAATTACCAAAGATAATCAGCTGATTCTAAATTAGTTGATTCGCCTTGATCTTTAATCCAATATTTAAACCCGTAGTAACTAATTAATCAACCGATTACTGTCAAGACTTAAATCTAATCTTATGTATTTAACTAAACAAATAGAAGCAGAAAAAAGTAAAATTTGATTAAATTTCCACAATTAGTTTTACTTTATTTGTTGTAATTTCTTAACTCTTGTAATTTAGATTCTCAATGACAATCAATCAGCAATTTAGGTCTCTCATCAGTGTCCATTAACTATTAAGATGATCATTTATAAACCTTTTTCTTAGATCTTTAATTTAATGATCTCAAAGAAAAACGGGTTAATCAGTTGGATTATGATTAATTGTAATCACTTGAATGACCCCACCAGAATCAACTAAGATCTTAATCTAATTGAATTTAAATCATTTGAAAATCTTATGCTTCTAATCTGAGGGTGAACATAAATTTTCAATGTAATTACCTAATCCTTAATCTTAAAAGCTAAATCTTAAAACCATAAGAAACTAGATTAATAATAATGATTATCAATATTAATCTTGATTGACTTTTAATCACCTTTATATGGTGACAATCAACGCAAACAATTAATAAAAATATTGATCCAATTGGTGTTTCAAAACCATAATAATAATTGTAAATAAAAGTTAATCAATTATTGAAACAGGTTAAAAGATGATGATTAACATTACAGTTTAAATGATTAAATAGCTTTACCTGAAAATTAAAGGTAATTAACTTTTAATATTGATCATGTTGATTAGTAAACAATAAAAAAAACAATAATAAACTTAATCAACGGCAATTAAAAGCCCTTTAGGATTATGGGAGCATAAGATGAATAAATCATTAATCAGTTGGATTAATGATTAAGTGGAGGTTTTAATTGTCATAAATTGTCAAATAATTACAATGTTTCAATTGATTAAAGTTTCTTAGTTGAAAAAAGTATAAAAAATTTACTTTTTCCCTCCAAATCTTTTGGTTTAAAGTTAATTGCTAGCTAATTGTATCCAATATATTGCTGGTATACATATATTTATGATGGTTAATTGTCAAATGATTAGCAATTAAGGTTCATCTCAATTTAACCTTGTTGGTTGCGAGGTGATAACTTTCAAACTGGACATGAAAAACTGGACACTCAATTTGTTTTTACACTCAATGTTACACTTACTATTATTACATATCGATAGTTACAATTAAGTTAATTGTTGTAGAAATTATAATTTTACTTTCTCTCCCATAGTTAATTAATACAATTAATTGTTACCTGTAAATTCTGTGGGTTGACAAAACTACACACAGAGATACGAAGCTATTAAAAGGGTTTATGTTAAATTTTAATTACCTCAAGGTCTTATTACCTGATTAATATTATCAAGAACTTGAGTTTATCAAAATTTTCATCTGGGCAGCTATTGATAAATTAGCCTCAGGGTAAATCATATTATTATTATAATTATTATCATCATTTTCAACATCAACAGCATTAACATTATTTTCATTCTGATCAATTGAATATCAGATTTACTTGAAGCAATAATCATCTCAACCATGTTTCTCTGATTCTTTCATTGGTGATTCTAATGATGATAATGATGATGATGATGATGATGAAAATTCTGACTCTGAATCTGATGAAAATGCTGAGTTTGTTTTATATTAATGAGCCTAAAGGATAAAAAAGCCCTTTAGGAAAACCTAACAGAATCTACGTTAACCTTGGGTAACCTTTTTGTCTTCTTAGAGGTTTAAACATCTCAACAGGTCTCAATTTACAGTCTCATGAAAAAGCGTAAAAAAATTATAGTCGAATGGTAATTTTCTTGTATTCCAATAAATCTGAATATCTTGAGTTCTAGAGGCACAAAAGTAAAATAGTAATCATTACCTTTGCTACTATTTCCATTGATGTGATTGTCCAATTGGCACAATATTTTTCATTAGACTGTTCAACTTATTCGGTATTATTATCATAATGTAATAGTTCAGGTAAATTGTTAATTGTTAATTGTTAACATTGTTTCATCTTCTTCTTCTTATTTGATTAGTTCATTTATCCTCAAGCATTTGTTTATCTTAGGCTTGAGTGATAACTTTTTTTTTGCTTCTTCTCCATTGAAGTTCATGATTTTTTTTCAGGTTCTTTCATGATTGATATTGGATTGAAGATCTGTACTGGACCTTGTCCACACTCACGTCCTTACCTTTCCCTCTTCAACTTTTCTCACTCTTTTTACCTCTTCTCTCTCTTTCTCTGTCGAATCCTCTGTCTATTAAATTTCATTGTTTTCTCATGCATTCTCATTGAATAGTAACTTTCAAACTACTTTCCTTTGTTACAACTTTTCAATTGTTACAATTTAACTAATTAACCAATTCACCGAAGTTTAAATGACAATTATCAACAATTGCTTCATTAAACTTACTTCATCTCATGGGAATAAATTAAACAGAATTCACAATTTGAATTAAGATTAATTTTCAGTCCCGATTAAAAGATTACCTTAACATTTACGAAAGCTGAATATGTTAATAGAAAAGTTAATCATAAGATTGGAAACTTAATTCAATTCACAATTCAAGGTAAGTTAACAAAATCAATTAACTGTGTCTACGTTTAATTAATATGTTTCATTTTTTTGTGAATCATCAACAATTTCCGCTTCCTTTTGATATTTTTCTCTCTCTCTCTCTCTCTCTCTACTTTTTACCAATAATTACATACCTTTGGAAGTACAATGATTTAAATGTATATTTACAACAAACAGAGAAACAAAATTAGCAATTAAAATTGGAACTTAATTGAAACCAGATTAAGATTAACAATTTACTCGCTTATGTAAATCGACCCAAGCCTTTAGCTGATTTGCATTTGTAATTGTTATTTTTGCGCAAAAATTGTAAACAAAGAGCTGAAAATGATTAAAGAAAACGCTGTTAATCATAATAAACTCAAGATGAAACATGATTATAATTAATATGATTCAATATAAATATATTATCAATTTGTATTGTGAAGGAGAGAGAGAGTATAATTTATATGGTTGAGTAAATATCTTTTTAACCAAAGAGTTAATGATGAAAAGGGATAAACATACACATTCAGGTAAATGTAAACTAGTAATTTAATTCATTAAATTGATTAAAAATATAAACATGAATCTGGATTAATCAATAGAATGGGATAAGTGAAGCTCATCATCATGATGAGCAACATCAGTAATCAGCTCAAATCCATTGAAATTTTCATGGTTGAAAAGCGTCTCGAAAATACATATAAATAAAGTAAATATATTGGTTGCTAAGGGAATGGAAAAAAACAGAAACGTTTCAATTTTTCTCCTGCACTCAGGTAATGGAAACTCAGTTAACATGATGGTTAGTTTTTTCTTATTCCTGTACTAACGTTTCCATCGTTAGCTATCATGAGCAATTCCAAGGTTACAACCGATTCTGTGTCCAACTATCCATAGAGAGAAGTTGAAACTTTTTGGTTTCTCCAGCGAGAGAGAGAGAGAGAGAGAGAGAGAGAAAATCTCAATGAAACTTTTTTTTCTCCAAAAGAAAAAAAAGTCAATCGTTATAGTGGAAAAGTCAATTTAAATACCAATAAGTAACAATTTCTCTAACAAGGACAAAGAAATCATTTACACCAAAGATCAGGATTGAACATGATGATTACTTGTTGATGGTGATGATTAACCATTGAACAGTTTGGAAGATGTGATAATAATAATAAATAACAAGGTTATGTGATGTTACCTGTTGAAACTCACCTTGGTTAATGTCTCATTGATGAGACATTTTCTTAGCTTCAGAAAATTTCAATCAAATTTAATCCAGTTGATTGTTAATATGACAAGAGCGTAAATGATTATTACAAAGTTGTATCATTGGAAAGGGTAAAAAATTGTTACACTAATTTAAAGTTGTGACTTTAATTGCGTCCCAATCAAATGTCATTACTTTTGTATAGTTACACTAAACATCATCTTAATTATCATCATAAATTACCTGTTGCTTTAATCAAATTCAACTGTTTAAGTTAATTTGCTTTTTTATTTTTTTTTCGCTCTTAATCATTGTGAACAAATTAAATTTCAAACTGATTTAGTTACGTTTTGATTACGGAAAAAGGTTGGCTTTGTGATTTAATTGTTAATCATCAATAAGACAATGAAAAGTTGACAATTTTTTGTTTGTATTTTGTTTAGAGTTGAACTTACAATGAGCAAATTGAATTTGATTAATTAATTAATTAGTTAATTTGATTTGATGGAGAGCGAGAGAGACAAAAAAAAGGAATAGGTTTTGAACCATTGAAAAGACATTGGGAAAAGAAAAGATGAAAAAAAAAGTTATTTGTTTGAATTTTTTTTCTTCTTTCAGTTAATTGTGACAATTAATTTGTGGATTATTTTTGATCAATAATATTGATAATTATTCAATTTTTTAAATATCATGTTTAAAATTAACGAAGGTCAAGGCTGACGATAATTAAGGAAAATGATTGAAGACGCAATTTGTATTATTAATTGTTGATATTTAACATTGAGTTGGTTTGAATTGTTTTGTGGGTTCAACAAATTGTTGTTGATTTGTGAGTTTTGTTTGTAAATTACAACTTTTTTTTTGTAATTGTTTGTTTAATTGTGAGCTTTTGAAACATCCTAAATTGTAAATTAAGTATAAGCGTCACATGATGAGTACTTCAATTGAATGAGACAATCAATATATTATTAATAAAGATTGTGATTAATAAAACAAAAAAAAACTTGAATATGATTTAATAATGATTGATGATTGAGTATCTCTCAATAAATGGATTGGCTTTTATGTTGATTTGTTGGTTTGTTGTTTTCTCTTGACGGTCATTTGTGTCCATCCTCATTGTTTGAAGGGGTCAAAAGTTTTCTGCTGGTGCTCATGTTGATTGTCCATCCTTCCTTTGTCCAGTCTGTGAACCAATCATCTTGTGTATTCTTCTCATCCTGTTCGATTTGTCCGCTAATTTCTTTCATCTTTTTCCTTTTCTTTGGTCATCATCATCAGCAAGTGGTCACCCCTGTAGGCCAGAAGAAGTCCATCGGTTGGACTCCTTGGAAGTGCTGTTGTTGTTGTCCATTAACTGTAGGCTGTTGAGATGATGATTGTTGCTGATTCTGTGTGATATTGGGTAACAATGAGGATCGTGAAGTTGTGAGGACCATAGGTAAGATTGAAGAGATCGATGGTGCTGATGAAGATCCATTGAAGAGGGCAGATGCTGCTGCAGCGGCTGCGGCGGCAGCAGCGGCTGATGATGAGTGTGATGAGTGGAGTTGGTGGTGATGGTGGTGGTGGTGGTGTTGCTGTTGATGATGGGATTGGTGTGGGACGAGGCCGATTCCTTCATGGCTTGTTGTTGCTCTGTTACCTGATGAGCTAAAAGGCTTACGATCAACGGAACCACTTTTACCAGTATTATTAAAATACTGATTATTATTTGAACTTCGATTTACCTGATTATTAATGTTGGCAGTATTGTTTCCGCTTCCTGATGAATTGTTTCCTCCAGAATGACCTGATTTTGAGCCTTTTTTGGATGGATTTCGACGAGCAGGAGCCACACCATTGTGCCTTTGCATGTGAGTCTTAAGATTACCCTGAAAATAAAATTGAAATAACAACGAAAACAAAGAAAACATCATAAACACCAAATTCACTAATTAAATTGGTTTTCCAATCAAATTCAATCAAAATTACCTTTTGAGAAAATGTTTTACCACAAAGAGCACATGGAAACCTATTGTCTTTACTATGGGTTCTCAGGTGGGTATGCATGTTACCCTTTTGGCTAAAACCTTTACCACAAATACCACAAAGATATGGTTTCTCTTTGGTATGGACAGAGCGGACATGAGTCTTCAGGTTACCTTTCTGAGTGAATCCTTTATCACAATAATGACAACGATAATCTCGTTCTCCAGTGTGTATCTTCATATGTGTATCAACGTTACCTTTCTGAGTGAAACTTTTCCCGCATATCTGAAAATCAATGGAATCCAAATCAACAGTCATCCATCGAGATAAATTACAATTGAACTTTTTTTTCTTGCAAAAAAAAATCTTAGTGATGGACAATAATAATCGTATTAATCGTTATCGATTATTGAATATCGATATTTTGGTTTGGCGATTTATTATCGATTTATATTAGTAAAAGAATATCGATAATTTTTCTTTTTTACTATTTCATTTTTAGTAATTTTCGATTTTATTTTTTCCTGATCTAACTTTTTCCTTCCTTTTATTTCTCTTACTTTTTCACTTGCTTTTTCTTTGGAAATTATAGATTTTATCGATGTTTATATAATATGTTCTAATAGATATTTTTGATGATAATAATACTTTTCTTTTGATATTGTCCATCACTAAACGAAATTGGAATAAGAACGAAAAAAATAATTACCCCTACCTGACATCCGAAAGGTTTCTCGCCAGTGTGAATCATCATGTGCGTCTTGAGGTTACCCTTTTGGGTAAAGAGTCGATAACAAACTGGACAAAGAAAAGTTCGTCCGCTATTTGAACTACTACCATGTTTAGATCGTTGGTCACCCGATGAGCTTGTTGAACCAGTTGAGTAGCGACGTGAGTATAGACTTGATGGACCATTGGAATGAGGTATAAGTGAGGACAAACTTGTACTGGTAAAAGGTGATGAGTGAGCAAGATGAGAGTGATGGGAATGGTGCGAGTGATGACCAATGGAATGACCAGTTGCAGCAAGAGCTGCGACTGATGAATGAGTTGGAGACGCAATCGATGGAGATGAACCTGATGGATTAAGATGATGATGGTGACCATGGTGCAATTGATGGTGAGTTGCAGATGAAGAGGATGAAGAGGAATGGTGATGATGATGATGGGAATTAGCATGATGGGAAGTGGAGGAAGTATGATGGTGATGGTGATGATGATGCGGATTATTGTGATGGGTGGCGGATGTTGGTGAGTTTGTTGATCCAGTTGAGTTATGATGATTATGGTGAGAAATTGAAGAAGAGGAATGATGAGCAATTTTTGATTCTAACATGGCCGCAGTAACCGAAGATATCGAAGCTGCTGCAGCAGCGGCAACAAGTGCGGCTTCACTGGAACCAGAACGAGTTTCATTACTATTACCACCCCCACCAACACCATCAACACCACCGCCACCGGTACCAGCATTTGTTGTACAATTACCGCTAGATGGTAAATTTGATGTACTAGCACTAGTGAGGCTTTTCAAACTTGAATTATTGGTTAGTGTATCATCACCACCCCCGCCAATGGGTAGAGCGGAATAAGTCTGGCACATGTTACATGAATTACCTTTCTTATGATTATCATGATGAGGACACTTCGTATTATTATTATTAAAATTATTATTGGTATTTGGTCCGGAGGAAGATGATGTTGAATTATTGGATTGGTGTCTATTGAGACAATTATTTGATAGATTAAGATTATCTTGATTATCTTTCTCCTTATTATTACTATTACTGTTACTATTACTATTATTATTCAATGGACTAACAAGGGAACGAGATTGACCATTCGAACCTGTGTTATTATTATTATTTGAACTTAAACATAAACCACAATGTTCACTTGGTTTATCCTTATCGGAGTGATGAGGACATTTATTGTGAACAAAACTCAATGGACTTGGTGTTGATGATGAACTGGTACCTGAGGTTGTTGTTGTTGGTGTTGAATTATGTTGGTGTTGTTGATGATTCAGTTGTGATGGTAATTGATGCCCATTGATGTTACTATTTTGTGCTTGATGTTGTTGTTGTTGTTGTTGTTGTTGTTGGTGATGATGAAGATGATGAGCGGACGCTAATAATGCTCCAGCTGAACTGTTAACACCCGAGGATCCTGATCCTCCGCCCGAGGAGGAGGATGATGATGTTACCGTTTGAGTAAACCCGGTCATCTTTTCAAGGTAAGATGATGCGGCGGCCAATTGAGAGATACCAGAGGGAAATGTATGATGAAGTTGATGAGGTGAACTTTTCTTTAAAAATAAATCGGTTATACTGGCCTGATAGCCAGGCCACTTTTGTCCTGGTCCTCCTAAAGTCGATGATCCGACCCAAGGAAAAGCTCCGTTCTGCATTATCCGAAACACCGATCAGGAAAAAGAATCGATTCCAATCCCGATTCTAAAACTTTCTCTTTGTTTATCGTCGACAGAAACGACACAATTAACAGTTGATTTAATTTAATTATCCAATTAAGTCACGTAGCCTTTTTAACTTTTCCTTTAATTAAACTATTATAATATGCGATTAACAATTAATTGTCAGTCTCTTTTTGTTTTTCAATCGATTTGTCAATCAACAGTTTAACCAATATTGACAATCGTTGGATTCTTGCTTTCGTTGGTTTTAATTGTTTGATTGATTTAATTTTGTTTCTCGGTGATTTATTTGAAGATTTTCGTGATTAGTTGTTGACTTGAGTAAGTTGATTAAAGTCTCTAGTTAATTTAATCCAATCTTTTAATTGCTATAGCAATTTTTTGCCTTGGGCAAATGTGATTTTATCAAAAGCGATTGAATTAATTTCCCAAAGAGACTAATTTTGTTAATTTAATATTAACAATTGAAACAGTGATTAACTTAATTGTTGTTTCCTTTTTTTGCAATGAGAAAACAGTTGATGACTATTTTTCGGGTTTAATTTACTTGATAACTCGAAAAATCAAGTGTAACAATTAGTTATTCAATCTAATTGTTTTTAAATTGAAACTTCTAACAATCAGCCAATTAATTAAACAATTTAATTGTTGACCACTTTGAGTGGTAATTATAATTGTGAGTAGTTTAACAATTGGTTGATAAGGTTAATCCGTTCGGTATTTGCCTTTGATTGAGAAGAAAATTAAATTGTTATCAATCAAATTAACGATTTTGATTGATTAAATTTCCGTTTAATTGTTAAGTTATAATGTCGAGATCATTTGTGTTTTTACTTCAGCACACTAATGATAACTAATAAGTTTCAATGATTAATTAAATTAACTGCTTATTATTGGTATTAAGGTGCTGAAAGTTTTGATAAAAACTGTTGATTGTAGTTTTTAATCCAACAATTTAAATTGTTATATGAGTGATTAACTTTGTTTAGGGACTATTTGTCCATGGAAACAATTAAATAACCAAGTTGTTAATTGTAACGATGATGATGATTATGATGATTAAACACAACAATTAAAAATGGCACACAAATGATTGTTGATTAATCCTTTCCTATCCTTGGTAAGACACATAACTATGTTAATCATAATCCACAATATTTGAACTAAAAACAATTAACTTAATCAACGTTGAGATAATTTCATTTAAGTTTAAAGTTCATCAATGTTCAACTTTGATTTTAACAATTTTTGAATTAATTAAAACAAATTAAACAAAGATAAACTAATCACAATTAAGAAGGAGGAAAAACAAAACAATGTTTCAGTTTGATTCAATTTTAGTGTCTTGCGACAATTTGATTTAAATTGTTGTTGTTGTTGATTCAATTATTTCACTTTTAATCAACGACTAGAAGGACATTGATTTAATATGACTGTTGATTTGATGGCCTTCAAATTGTTCATCGGATTATCTGATTAATCCATTGAGGATAAACCATTTTATTGGAATGACTTGTTTTCCATCATCAGTAACTGAGTAGGTAGAAAACATTTTGTTAATTGTTGATAAAAGTTTCGCGTTGATCATCACCACTTTATAACTGAATTAACTTTAATTGTTTTCCATTGGCTAACTGTTACCATAATTAACATTTAGATAAGCCATATTTTTGGGTTAATCTTTTCTTCAGGCTTTCATCTCACTGATTATTTCTTTCTCTCTCTCTCTCACCTTGACGATTATTATGATTATAGTTGATTGTTTTTTAATTTAGATTAAGCTAGTTGATGATTAAGATAATGGTTATGTTGAAAATGATGATGATGATTAAATGATGAAAAGGAGAGGTGAGTTAATTGATGAAACTTTTTTCCAACGTTGTTGATGTTAATCTCTTTGCGGTTACAAACTAGTGATAACTTAATTTTCAATTCTTTTACCGTACAATTAACGGGTAACAATTAGAGATGGATTAACAATCAACGATATTGTTAGTGGCAATAATTTCCAAGATTGAATCTGTTTGCAGCAAAAAAAAAATAAATTAGTAATTAGAAAACAGCTAATGGATTAGACGAAGTCTTAATTAAAAGTCTATATTTCAATGATCATTCATCAAATTATTAGATTAATGAGAGATTAAAGTTATAATAATTTTCTTACGATTTGGTTAACCAGAAACAGATTAGATTAAGATTCAAGTTATTAATCAACAAAAAACAACAAAAAAACTCCAGACACATTAAAGGGTCAATTGAATAACAGGTATTCAAGTAACACCAATTTAGATTAATGTTGATAAACAATATTAAATGTTATCAGAATTCATTTGTATTGTTTTCAAGGGTTATCAATATAATCTGAACATCATAGATTCATCATAATCAATATCAAATTCACTAATCAAGAACTACTGATCCCACACCCTGTAAGAGTTAAACGAGATGTAAGATTAATTAGGAGTTAAATTAGATTTAAGCTCTTAATCCAATACTAGTTTAACTGGTTTCATAATCATAATCATCTCTCTCTCTCTCTCTCTCTCTCTCTCTCTCTCTCTCTCTCTCTCTCTAATCTCCCAATATTTTATTATCATCCCTTTATAATCAATTTCCAGTCTTATCTTATTTAGTTTTTACTAATATTTAAAATCCTTTTTGTCATATACCAAGAAAACACTAGTAACTGATATTATTTTTGAACTTTTCGAGTGAGAATCGCAAAGGTCCAAACTTTGAGAATCGATAAGATGTTCTAACAAGTTTCGTTTGTTTTTTCCTTTTTTTTGTATCAGTATTGCATTTCCTCTTCCTCTTCCTTGCAAACCATAATCATCGTCATCACAATTGAACGATAATTGCTCATGACAATTTAGATTTATATTAATATGTATGTTAATGTTATCAGAAATTTATAGTGATTTAATTTTTGTTACTTAATTATTTTTAATACACAAAATTAAGGTTATAATAAAAGTAAGAAAAATGTCATTAAATAATAAGATGATGAAAAAAAAGTGATTATCAAATTGACCTGAATAAAACATAATCGTTATAAAGTCCAACCTAATCAAAACCCTGCCCAAGGGTATTATTTTAATTATATTAAATCTATTGGTAAGAAAGAGTTATCATCTTCATCCTCATCATCATTATTATTATTATTTTCATCATCATCATCATCTTAAATCATGTTTATAAAACTATCATTATTTAGATGGGTTAATAAGAATCAGCTGAAAAGTTTCAAAAACTTTTCAACTTGATTTCGCCAGTTTCTCAAATTATATCATGATAAATGAACAAATTGAAACACCAAATGATGAAAAAAAGGCTGATCTGGGTTAAGAGTATGTATCTGGTTAGTTAATTAGAATCCGTATTAATACAAGTATTACAAGTGTAACAACAATTAATCAAGACGCAGAATTAGAGTTAATCAAAATCAATCAACCTCAAAATGTTTGATTATTAATATAAAAGATTAACACTAAGCTGATATAATAGCAGTGTTTTCCCAATGATTAGAGAGAAATTGTAACAATCAATTATCAAAATGCAACAATAAAAAAAATTAAGATTCTAAGATAATCACCATTAATCAGGTAATAGATTACCTTATTAATAATTCATCTTGCTCCTGAGACAATAGTGATTAATTGTTAACGTAACCATAAATGATGACCACTATCACTATCATCTTTAGGATAGTCTTTAATTTGAATTAATTTCAAGTGTAATGATCAAATTAATTATCATTGAAATTGTTACCAGCAATTTATGTATAAAAGTTCAAGCTATAAAATTGAATGAAAAATGACATTGGACAAACATTGTCAGTAGCCTAAGGGTAATGTCATATATGTGAACAGGAAATAAGATCCTTAATCATTATCAATTATACTGATAACATGATAATCTATGTGATTTTTTATCTTCATCCTCTAAAAGCATCTTCCTTAATCATAATCATCATCATTTCTTTTTCACGGTTATCCTCATCTTCATCCGTTCATCCAGTCTCTCTCTCTCTCTCTCTCTCTCTCTCTCTCAAACTTAAATATTTAATTATCTTCAATTAATCAAACATCAATTAACGTGCTAATTATTTTTTGCGTTGATAAACAAGAAAAGGGTTAAAATGGTTGATTGTCAATCAACAAAATTATGGGTTAGAAAAATGAAATGATTGTGAGAGTCCATGAGAAATGACCAGTTAACCTTGGCCTTGACAATTTTATCAATGACCATTAATCTAGAATCATAATCATGAGAAAGGAAATTAACTCAACATTTAACCAGTAACAATCAAGAATTGAGGTAAAAAACTGTTTTATTCAATCTAATTGTGAATTTGGTGTAGATTTCATTTATCGAATTGAACAACAATTAAAATTAATTGTTAGTTGTTAACATGATAAAAGATTCACAATTATTTTTACAGATTCATAATTCAAGAATGTTGATATTAATTAAAGGAGAGAATTAATTTATCCCATGAATCTAATATGAAGAAAAGAAAAACAAAAATTGAGTTAATTGTTGTTTCTATTGTTTCTGATTGATTAACTTTGATCAAAAAGAATTAATTTACTCGGAAAAAAATTAAATCAGCCTGATTGATCCTTATTATTATCAAGGCGTGATCATGAAATATACATGATATATTTTATTAAAACCTTAATTAGGACCAATTGAATCAGGAACCCAAACAATTTAAGCCTACGTTTTGGTTTGAGCGTTTCAATATAATTCAAAAATTAATCAGATATTTAATAAAACACAATTAAAACCAAAAACAAAAACAACAAGATAAGTTTATTAATAATAATCAAGTTAATTGTTTATATTGTTGGTGTTAAATGAGGTTGTACTTAAAACTCAATGAACTCAGCTAATTAACTACAAAGAAATGATGATTTAAGCAGCAATCACGAAAAAAATCATGTTAATCATGACGATGATAATGATGATGGAAATTAAAAAAAAAGTTATAGAAATTAAAATAATAATTTGATAATAATTACAGGTAATTAATGGTCATTCATTGAAATTATGTTAAAATCAAAGTAAATTAGTATTTTGACCAACTAATTTTACATCTAATCAGCTACTTGACCAGCATAAACTTATATTAATAAAAGTCAACGGTCAACAATCATAACTGGTTAAATATTAGATAGCAATTAACATCTAATCATTTTTTGCATTTCTCAATCAAATTAATTCAACAGTTTAAATTAAATGCTGCCAACTGATGGAAACATTTTATAACATCAACTGAGGAGTGGAGGTGGAGGAGGTAACGAAGATGTGTACCTGTGGTGAAGGTATAGAGGGTGGTGGATAGAATCATTTTCTGGGTGTAAGAAAAAAAATCTCTTTGATTCCTGATTCAGCATTTCAGCTGAATCATACCCACCCTTTCTTGACACTCCTTACATGAGAGTGAGAGAGAGAGAGAGAAAAGTTCTCAGTTGAAACTTTTTTCCTTCTTCGCTGATAAGTTACCTTTAAAAAAATCAATCTTTTTAATCCAATGGTATGAAATTAATGGTTGATAAGTTTCTACCTTTTATTTATTTTTTCCAGATTAATGGTAATTCATTAAATTCATTGAAATGAAAATCAGATAATGTGATAATTATGAGAATCAATCTTAATCAGTATTGATAATAATCTAAAGACCTGTAGATTTGTTATAATATTGAACATTTACTCTGTTCATGTTTAACTCATTTCAAGATTCAAGTTCAAGTGTTGTAATCACCATGTAGATGATACTTTGAATCCCCCACCCTGTAAACTTCCCGCTAAGAGATGAACCGAAATTTCTTAAAATTCAATTTTTTTCCTTTTTTCTGTATTCGATTGATAATCCAAACGATAATAACTGATTCTTGCAATGCACACAAATGAACATTCAAATAAGTCACTCAATGATAATCTCAATGTTTGCATTTAATTGCAATTTAATCTTAATCATCTTCATATCAGAATAGGAGTTACGATTAACTAGATGATTAATCTTCAAGTGAGTTTGCTCAATATTATACAATTTGTAACTAATAATGTAACTCGTTACATTGGTCATTGATCTCGTTCTCAAATTGAAATTACCATGTTAGAATGGATAACAATTTAAACCGATTTGACTGATAATTGTTGGGATGATTAAAGGTGATTAATACAATAGATACACGTTTGATTAAACTTGCTTTCAGCCAATCGTTAATCAGTGCGATTAAAGATTTACCTTTTAATATAATCAAACCTTAAATTCAATCAAGTTGAAAACCTGATTAATATGTTACAAGACAAATCCGTTTATCCTTTATGAATTTAGTATATGTTTACCAATGATTAATTGTCACAATCAATTTAAGTTGAATCAATTGCAATATATATTTAACTTATTTGTCTATACAGAGTATGTAGTAATATATTGATATTTGCAATGAAATTAACTGATTGCTATTACTATTAATATGATTAAGTGGTTAGTATTGTAACAAGAATGGATATCAAAACTTAATCATCTTCAAAGGGATCAAAGGGTGTAACTGGTTAAAGGTAGATTAAGGATGATAATTATCATAATCTTCATCCTTTAACCATCATCTTGAAAAGTTAATTGTTTAACTCAATCTCTTTCTCATCATAAAGAATAATATTAAAAATCCTTTTCTCTCTCTCTCATCATTATCGTCCTCATCCTCTCTCATCATCTATATATCTTCATCATCTTGCAGTAATTTTCAAGGTAACAGGAGGGAGGAAAACTAATCAGTCTCATCTTATTTTGTTGTCAGAATCATTATATCATAATAATAATCATGTTATTCCAGAAAAGTTCATTAACCATGCAGCTTTCATTTCATTTTTCCAACATTGGAACACATGAAACAAAAACTGTTTAAATCTAATTTGGTTGAGGAATAATAATTCAAACTAATCATCATTCACTCATTGATTAAATCATTTCAATGAATTCATATTTTATTTTTACAAGTGTGAAAA